GCAGCTAACACAAATCTTTTATACATGAGTGTTATTTGAGTTAAATCGTACACATGTGCGTCCGCTTTTGGTCACCTATGTGATTGGAGAATGAATTCGGAATTGTCTCGATACCGGATTTGGGGGCAAAAAGTTGATCAAAACTGATCAGCCCGGTTTTCATACTCCATTTACTCGATATAACACACTACACGCAACAACCTCGAAAAATTGGTCTGATCAGCTGCCCGGTGGCCGAGTGGGTAGGGCGTTTACCTGTCTGCCTGTGAGATCCTGGGTTCGCGATCCCTAGTTGGGTCGATGGATTCGTGCTATGTGCTGATGAGACCGAGCCAGGTCGTAACAACTGTTCAGCAGTGCTTCTCAGATTTTTAATTTACGCTTCATTTGCTATACACACGACGAATTTCCCCTGGGAAATTTAATTAATTAATCCAGGACTCATATATTATCCCGTTCTCTTTGAGAAGACCAAGGGTACTAATAGGTAAAAGTGTGATAGTTATTAACTACCATTTATACTTCTAGTAAAGGTGTCTATCTGGCTGTTGAAATTCCTGAGCGTCAGGCGTTTACTTCACGCATCCAGATGAGTACGAATTACGTTTCAGTTCCGAGGCAAGTTCGCTCAACGGTTGAAGCGAGGCTGAGAATACACTAATAGGGAAGAGATTATGTAGTAGCTATTTTCTAGACAAGTTTTGCTTAGTTGAATTAGTAGAAAATTGTGAGGGGATTTAAAGTGCACAATTGTGGTCTGCCCATTATGGATTCCAAAGAACTTTCGCGATTGGTGCAGACGGTGCCCCAGGTATCCTGTTTATCAATGTATCACAAGCGTTAAGAGAACTGGAGATAAAGAACTCAACTAAAACAACTCTATCAACTCCACTGTAGTGGGACACAAGCTTAAGGGGTCTCGGAAATAACGTGAAGTCTTTTTCTTTCAGACCAGTGATAAAAATAAGGGAGAACTATAGCCATTGTGGAAGAATGCGGGGAATCACAAATTTAAAAATAAGATTATGTGGTATGGCCAGTTTCCTTAGCCTGTAAGCATGAAAAGACGATTTTCGAACTTTTGTGCAAGCGTTCATTACATGAGCAGACCAGGACAGGCTATTGGGTAAGGGTGACACCAAGGTATTTAACAGATACAGATTTTGGAATACTGTACTTGTTAATTCTAAGATCAGGGAGATTATCAACTAATGAAAAATAACGGAGATCGATTTGAAGACTAAGTGGAACTTAAATGTACTTCCTTATGTTAAGTACAAGGGATTGGGTCACGGACCAATCGTGAAGTTCATTAAAACTGTCCTGGAGAAGTCGGAAACTGTCTAAAATAGGGGATGGGCAACCAATCACAATTTCATCAGCATACTTACAGGCAATAAAGCTGCTGGGAATGAGTAGAGTTTGTATATACATAGAAAACGAGAAACGGGACAAAATCGCACCTTGAAAAAAAACAGAAAATTCACACCCATTCAAAAATAGGACTGCAGAAGCACACGGACGGTAAGCTACCCGTTAGTATTCAGAACAATGCGTCAAGTTTGCTCATGTTGATCACAGTTTTCTTTATCCCCTAACCAGTGCAATCATTCACACCTTTTTTCAAGCTGTGAAAAGCAATCAATCTAATCACGTGATTTTTCTGCGCATTCCTTGCTATTTAATTAGAATTTATTGGTCCAGACGTACTTTGGGGTATCCTAGCGTGCCGCGATTAGAAAATCAGACGTATAAATTACCACAGTATTAAGGTTTACTCGTTCTCATTAACTGTCTCGTTTCGGGTTTGTGATTCCTGTTGCGATTCTCAAGTTTTGCGGTTTCAAGACTACAAGTTGAGGAACTTAATGTTTTGAGATGTGCCAAACTTGGGTCCGCAAATCTTTGAACCTGTGATGCGTCTATTGATCTGAGCAAGACCAGTACGGCGTGAACAAAATTCTGCAGGTTCACCATTGTTAAGATAGGTCTTATCAAGCATCGCCTAATTACAAACGAGGACCAACCGAGCAATTGTGTACGCACAGGCATGCGCGTCTCCGGATGAAATTGTGTGTAAAGTGATACTCGTGAAGACGATCAACACAGATGAAGAGTATACAAGTGATCTTATCAGTGGATATGGGCGATGGAACAGTAATTCGTCTCGTATGACATGAGTAATTAAGCATGTAAAGATCCCAATTCAGACTGATTGTTCTACGACAATCCAAGATAGCAAACGTCTCAATCTGGTAGCGCCTTATTTTAAACGCGATTGGTTTGAATAATCAGTTCCCTCTGACGTGTGATACTACATACTCTCTCCCGTATGAGTTGTCCTGAATCCTTCGAAGGTAGCTTATCCCGTGTTAGATAGTCCGAGACACCACCAATGAGGTAATCAATTTGCATGGTTTCTTCAGTACGTTGCGGTTGAATCAACAAAAGCCAACATTCGGGGATAGCCTGATGTATATGGGAGATAAAATCATTGATACCTTCACCACTCAGTTGTTGTAGTTTTAACAAATGATATCGCGCTGTACACAGATGTTGTTCCAAGCCCCAGAGCTTTTCAAAGAATGCAACGGCTTCGGCAATCGAAGGTTTCTCCATAAGGTTCAATGAGTCGCAATGGCATTGAACGTTTTCCTCCAAATACTGGCGAAAGAGAATAATTCAATGAATGTCCTTGAGGGAAATAAACGGAAAAGTGTTATTTGATGTTTAAATTTTGTTTTCCAACGAAACCAACTCCAAAGTGAAGGTTTTCTCCGACCGAAAGGACTGAATTCCCGCAAATTAGTTCATTAATCTCGTCGCTATTTGTTATGTTTGTATTTCAAACTGTCTAGTCTCGGACTCGTAGTCCGCTAGCAAAGTAGAACAACCGTATTCAGGGAAGGATAGGTTTATTATGCCTCGTTCACAATTAATCGTGTCAATCGTAGGTTCTATAAGGCAGTAATAGAACTAACAGCCAATCAGGATCGGACCCATGTCGGCCTGCAGTATTGACAAGAACGAGTGCGTGAAGTTGATCGATCTGAATAGATATCAATCGATAACATCTGTGGAACGAGCAAATTAACCAGGCGCGGGTTGGTAGGACGTTAGTAGGACGCACTCAAGTTGCAGGCACGTATTCATCAGGAATCATGTATATTGCAGGTGAATGCTGACTTCTCTTCTCTCTTTTCTCTTCTCTCATGTTTTCTGCCATTCCATAAATAGATCCATAAAGCTAATGGAGCTGACCGGTCACGAGTAAGTACGTCGGTTTGATGATAACTATAGAGGAACCAGAGGTGGCTGTGGTTCGACAGTCTTTTCGGTGGGCCTGTGATAACAGTCGAATGTAAAACACACGACCGATGTAGGACAAATTACGTTTTCTATTACTCTTTACAGAACTTGGTGAATCATTTTTCGAAGCGGTCCTTATTTTGTAAGCAAATCGCACAGTTGATTAACCTCGTAGTACTAAAGGTGCTATCAGTCCGCATGCGCCCAAATAAAATTCCTGCAGAAACCAGCATGTGACTCATTGAGACACCTTGACGAACAGGGTTTTCGTTTCACACGCTTTGAGCTCATTTTAGTACTGCTTTATTCAGCCGTAAGAAAATATGATGTCAACTGGACTTGCTTTTGACGATTTACTCACGAACGTATACAAAGCAAGGTAGTTTATAACAATTTGTGAAAATGTTCACTGTAGAAAAAGAGAGGAGCATCGCATATCAGCTCCGTAACCGAGTGTTACTCACACGTTATACAAATGAATGTTTGGCGTATTTGAAGTTTGTATGACGATTGTGAAAAGCTCAGTAGCCCCCGTGTGATCAGTGCTCTATCGGTATGGCCTTGTAGCACAGCTGGTAGAGCGTGCCCCACAAAGCGTAGGCGACGTCCATGCGTGGGTTCGAGTCTCGCCGAGGCTATGGAATGTTTTACAATCGCCGAACAAACTCACATGTTGGTGATCACACATACACACACATCAAGCACTTGTTTAGTATCTTAGAAGAAGATAGGTTCGAGAATGTCTGTGTTGTGTTTGGTATTGCCCTTGGAATTTTCTCCCGAAATGGTTTTGCGGAGCACAAAGGAGAGGTGGGGGGGGGACTGTTGATTATGATGGTGGATTCCCCTGCGCTTCCTCTGCGGTCGGAATGTGATCACTGAGCACTTAATGTCCTCAGTCACTGCACTATTCAGTCAAGTTGATTGGTGCTCAAAACTAGGTCAGGATAAACATCTGCGCGTGTATTGTACCCCGTTCCAGTAGAAAAGGTCTGTGAGTACATACATATATACATGCATACAACAACACACACAAACAAACAAAGAGACTGCAGAAACAGATGATTTATCTATCAGGCAAAGGCACAACAGAGTGGCTTGACAATAAATGTAATGAGCTGCTACAGTCAGACTACATGTTATGT